GAGAAAAGTGTTGGATTAGTTAGTTGAGTGTTTTTCTATATAAGTGCATTACATTCTTACATGGTCTGAATCTAATCTGCTTTTCCAACTACTTTGAAAATTTTTTATCATTTATTTTTCTGTGGTTCCTTTTCTGATTGCATTTTTACAAAAGGGTCAATAAGAAGGAAAAAAAACATCTAGTTAAAGGTTATCATCTGGTTATTCTAGTCAGACATTTATCAGTATTTGTGTTGTCAGTAACACTTTGCAATAACTTAGTGCATTATAAAGCATTGATAAACTATTAGATCAAGTATTACCAAATTGCTCAACATTGGTAATGTTAATGAATTGTCTCATATTGTAAAATGTTGCCATGTTGGTTATGGGGCGACAGTGGCAAATAGGTTAAGAGTCTGCCCTATAATTGGAGGGCTGCAGGATCAAGCCCCGCTCTGTTTGTTGCTGCCGTTGTGTCCTTGGGCAAGGCACTTACCTCACCTTTCCTGCTGGTGGTTGTCGGACGGACCGGTGGCGCCTGTGCTCGGCAGCCTCCGTTCTGTCAGTGCAAGAAGTAGCTCATCAGCAGCAGCAGCATATGAATGTGTGTGTGTGTGAATGGATAAATGACTGATTGTGTGGTAAAGCGCCTTGGGGGGTTCTATGACTCTAGAAGCTGCTATATCAAATTCAGGCCATTTACAATGTTGGTTTATACCTTGATGCAAGTTACAGTGTGTAAACCAAAATAATGTCATTTTAAACTCAACATTTTCACTAATATGTCGTCACATCTTTGAACTTCGTCATCGTCTTCCTCCGCTTATCTGGGTCCGGGTCGCGGGGGCAGCATCCCAACTAGGGAGCTCCAGACCGTCCTCTCCCCGGCCACGTCCACCAGCTCCTCCGGCAGGACCCCAAGGCGTTCCCAGACCAGATTGGAGATGTAACCTCCTGCCGGCAGCACACGCCCGAAACACCTCCCCAGGGAGGCGTCCAGGAGGCATCCTGACCAGATGCCCAAACCACCTCAACTGACTCCTTTCGATCCGGAGGAGCAGCGGTTCTACTCCGAGTCCCTGCCGAATGTCCGAGCTCCTCACCCTATCTCTAAGGCTGAGCCCGGCCACCCTACGGAGGAAACGCTTTTCGGCCGCTTGTATCCGCAATCTTGTTCTTTCGGTCGTTACCCAAAGCTCATGACCACAGGTGAGGATTGGGATGTAGATCGACTGGTAAATCGAGATCTTTGGACTTATCGACGAGAAATCCTTCATGGTTTTTCAAACTAACAGCCAAAATGTTGGAATTATTTATCTAGTCGTTACTCCGTCACAAAGCTCATTTACAAGCAAAAACAAGCAGCTTCTCTTCTGTCATTTAAATGACATATTTAATAACTTTACATCTCTTTTAGGAAACAAAAACACCCTGACATTTTGCTGGCATCTTCTTAAACACCAGCAGCAACATCTGGATCTCTCTCTCTCTGTTTACCTTCACAGAAAGCTGCCTTTGTGCCTTTCTGCCTGCCTTCCTCCCTCTCTCTGACCCCTGTCACAGTCAGTAAAGTTCGGATAAGAAGCTACATAACACTGCATTGTCTGATCAGGTGTTGTTGAGTAAGCGAGTTTGCTGCCCTGATCTTTTGGGGTCAGCTTAATGCTATCCTCTCCTGGATCTATCCTTGTAACCTGGTCTGCTGCCCGCCAGCCGGGGCCTACGCTCATGCTCCAGCATCCGGCTGGCCCATCGGATGCTTACACCCATAACATACTACTGTACCTCCATGTCCAACAGCACACACTGCACATAAGGTTGTCTGCACAAGGAACACATGCATTAATGACTTATTTGTATGTTTTTAATGTCACCCCCCCCCCCCCCCCACACACACACACACACACATCATGTATGTTTAACTTGAGTCAACATAAAGAAAGATACTGAAGGTGATACACGGAGACAGGCAGTTCAATATTCCCCCCTTTTCAAATCAGATTCCACCTTGAACAAAGTAAGAAGTGGGTTATTGATTAATCACTATATATTAATGAGCTGAATTGATCTGAAAAGAGGGCAACAGTGCAGCTTGCTGACAGTGAAAGGGCCTCTACTTCAAAGGATCTTTTGGAACAAGTTAACTCCTGGAGGAGGTGATGAGCAGGTATAATCAGCTTGGTTTTATCGCTGATCTCCTCATCAAAAGGCTTGTCTTCCTACTAAAGGCTTGTTGTGAAATTGCTGTAAAGGATAATATATCAGTTATTTAGTGACAACGATGGCAAAAGTAATTCTCTCATTGTCGAACAAGAGAAAGGGAGATGGAGGATCTTTTTAGGATTCTGATAAAAATCCTAACTTGTGCAAATAAGGAGCTATGTGTGCTTATGTTCCATAATGTGGGAAACTGATATTTTAAGGTGTGGTTGACTGAAAAAAAACGATTTTTTTAAACCCACCCACTGTCCTAATGGGTGTGACCCCGTGAGGAAAGTTGACCATTGAGCAGGGTTGATGGTTTATCCCTTGGGTCCATGTGGCAGGGGTGAGGAGTGAGCACCACCTCACCTCAATTTCTCTAACGAGCTATAAAATAAGTGTTAGCACATGAGCAATTTACACACACACACACACACACACACACACACACACACACACACACACACACACACACACACACACACACACACACACACACACACACACACACACACACACACACACACACACACACACACACACACACACACACACACACACACACACACACACACACACACACACACACACACACACACACACACACACACACACAGATGCCGAAACAGACAGGACAAGCTAGGACAATATTTACCATTTCATGGAATCATAGGGATATTATTGTAACTGTGCATGAGCTTAGAGCATTTTGATTTGCGTCCACAATCAATCCCCCCTTGGCAGGGCAGCAGCAACCAAACATCTGGTATTATTATGTAAACAGTCAGTTTTATGAAAGCCAGGGATTGTAGGGGTTTAGACTGAAACAGATACAACATACAAAAATGTGTCTAAGAATACAAATGATACATTAAACTATTTACTTGTAGATTACATAGTAACATAAACAGGAAAATGAATTATTTTTATTACATTAGGTGAGAATGAGATTTGATTGGCTGATAGACATCCCTGTTGCTGTGCATTCAAACTGCACCACAAACACAGCTAAAGAGGCAGTTAGATTAAAACAGCCAGACCCACAGACCACAAACCAAGTGAATACAGAGCAGTATCACATCTCATGGTTCTCTGTGAAGATCGTGTGTTCAGCAACATTTCTCTCATCTGCATCGTTTACCTTTAGCAGAGCGCTCATATTACCTGTTTGGTAGTGCTACAAAACAATCAGTCAATGTAATAATGAAAGAAAAAATTATATTCTGTAAAAACAACAAAAAGCATGCTATCAGCTGTAATATTCAGCTCTTGTTGACTATTACCAAGAGGTGACTGAATGTTTGCTACATACAGGAAATACTGAATGAACTGTTCTGAAAGTCTTCATCAGATGTACATCTACAAGTGGTTAACAATGGACTCTACCCAATTCAAGATGTCTGCCATGGCTGATCATCATTAACAAACAAAACAGGCTCGACCACCTTTTTAATATTAAGCCATAATTTGTGCCGTAGTAACTAACAGACTGACAACGTGGACTCTGAGTGCTACACAATGTGCAGTATCTGTTTTAAGTGTTTCACTTAAGTGTTGGTAGCAATCTCAACTGTCTCACAAACAACTTGGTGGATTCTAATGAAATTCTCAGAAAGTCTTTACTAGTCGACCCGACTCAGAATGGATAACACAGCCATCTGACCTTGGAAAACAAAAATGCCTGTCAGCTTTACAGACAATGAAATAACGTTTTATATGGGAATAATTACTGAGGAGCAGATTTAGCACAATCACCCTACATGGTGCATGGTGTTGTTTTCCAAGATTTCTCCTAAATATGTTGTATCGTTTCTGAACATATGATCTTAAATTTAAGTTCTAAAATGAAATTTAATTAGAACAGCTACAATTTCGGACATTTGTTGGATTTTTTTAAATTTGTAAAATGTAGAAAATTTATAAACATTAAATTATTATTTTATCATTAACAACTTACACAAAGTTCCTCATTTCCAATACCAGAAGATCAACAGCTGCTGTGGTAACATTTTATTAAAAATGATTATTTTATTAACATTATTTAGTTCATTATTAAGCATCATAAACAAATGATCTCTTTATTAACGTTCCCGATGTTGCTAACTATTAAGTGTCCCTAAGGTTAGGACAGCAGTAGCTCGGGAGGTAGAGTGGATTTTCCAGTAATCAGAAGGTTGCAGGTTCGATTCTGGCTCCAACCAGAGAATGCTACCGTTGTGTCCTTGGGCAAGACACTTAACCCATCTTGCCTGGTGGTAGTGGTTGGAGGGACCAGTAGCACCAGTGTTCAGCAGCCTTGCTTCCATCAGTGCGCCCCAGAGCAGCTGTGGTTACATCATAGCTCTTCCCCACCAGTGTGTGACTGTGTGGATGACTGATCGTGTTGTGAAGCGCCTTGGGGGGTTGTAGCATCCTAAGAAGGTGCTCTAGAAATACAGGCCATTTACTATTAACAATGGGCTTAGTTATGCACATTAAGTTTATTATTAGGCAGTTGTTAATACTTTAATAGTTTATTAATGCTTAAAAATGCACTAACGTTATTAAAGGGACCCTTATTATAAAGTGTTACCACTGCGGTTTGTTTGGAAGGGAACAACAACGTAGGAGCATTTTGACTATAATGAAACCATTTTGGACTTTTGGATTCTACATTGGATGTGAGAATAAAGTAATGAACTCATTTTGATTAATTAAGTAACAAGTTTAGCTGTTGAACTTTACAATCGGTTCAAATTTTGCACTTCGCTAAAACTAAAGATCTAATTTATTAAGCACAAATTATTAAAAACACCAAAGCATCGGGAGTGACTCACCCGGTCTTTTCTCGTTTCGAGCTTTCCGACCCCCACACAGCCGAACTTTAGAAATCAGAACCAGAATCTGTTTCTGGCACAGGGACTTGTTGCTCTTGGGACAGGGCCTGCGCTTGTTGGCAACTGGTCGGTTGGCTTGGTCGTCCTTGACCGCCCGTTTCTGTCTGATGAGAGAGCTGGCGAGAGCTGCCATCTTCTCCCCCCCTCACACGTTTGGGAGGGGGGTATGTTACTTCTCTGTACCCCCCTTTCCTAGCTGGTTTTCTGCTCCTCTTAAGAAAAAACTGGAGTAGGACAGATGTTTTAAAGAACTCCCCCCAGGGGAAATCCGGCTACTAAGTGGGTTAAAAGGGAAGATGCTTCCCTTTGAGAGGGGGAGATGTGGGAGAGATGTAATATCAGATGTAGTCCACTGTAAAGTCTCAACTCTGGCCAAAAACAATAAAAAACCTCTTTGTAGCAGACACGTGGATCAAGTGTCACATTTTCTGTTTAAAATCACAAAACAAAAAACTTTAAAAAAAGAGGGAGAGGAGACATGCCCCTAACCTGCTTCCCCACTCATTGTTTCACATCAAAATGTGCCTCAAGTTCTAAATATTCCAAACTAATTAACCTACTTTCAATACACAATAGCAAAGAGAAGAGGATTAAACTAAATTACATATAAAAACAGTTTTACCGAAAAAAAGTGAGATAATCTTGAACGCTAGGAAACTCTTAAAAGAGCAGGAAAAATCTGATTGTTTGTCCCCCATCGTGCTGTCCAAACAGATCCAACTTTGCCTCCCATTTAAACGTGGCAGAGTGGAGCAGCAAGCGCAGAGTCCGAGCGGTAATCCAGCTGACTTAATTCCAGATGTAGAGCAGCAGGCGGGATGCTCACGGTGTTTGTCGGAAAGCAGTCGGCAACAGAGCGGAGACATGAACACACACAGACAAGAGGTTCCTCTTCTGCCTCCGGATGGCACACAGTCCTAACACTCCCCCCTCATTCACCCCATGCCTCCCACCTCCTCCTCTCCCTCTCGTTCACTTCTCTCCACCTCTTCCTCCTCCCATCCGAAGTCAGCAAGCGCTTGAATGAGGAGGTGTGTGTGTGTGCGCGTGTGTGAAAACCTCCATCAGTAGAGGTGACATTCATGAGAAGGAGAGAGGGAGGGAATCATGGTTGGGATGAGAGAAACAACCCCTTTCACTACAAATTTACTTTACGGATATGATTCCCAAAATAAAACAAGGCTTAATCATTCTGACTGCTTGACTGGGGGAGAGGATTGCGACATTAGCAACAGCTTCACCTTCCTACATACTCCCACACATCTGCACATCAAAACCTCAACGGGTTTAGCTGTGGACTTCTGGTCTTGCTCACGGTTTGTCTTCATCCCTGACTCACAGACCTCTTCATTGGAATCAGTAACAGGGACTTTGCTCCATCAATGTGTCATTTATTGTATGATGTAACTGAATGACAGCTTACACTAAAGCAGACTGGAACACCAGCTTGGACGGATTTAGTTAAGCTAAGACCTGCAAACTTACATTGGATCACTCCCAACATCCCTTAGCTTCTCTCTGGCAGCAAAAAATAAATAAATAAATAAATGAAAAAAAAAAAAAACCACAAACGTGCAATCATATTTGTGCAGCAATCTAACAGTTTTGGACAAAGAAACCTCAACCATTGCTGGTAAACACCAACATCCTGCAGCAGAGCATTTGGAGCATCGTTGAGACTATGGGCAAGTGTTTAATAGAGCATAATTTAGTCCTAACAATGGTGTTCACACATTTTAAAATATAACAAATGTTAGTTGCGAACAAGTGTCCTGCCTCAGATTTTATGATGGCACTTTACTCCAGAATGTTAAGTGGAAAACATGTCCACTGTGTTTATGAAGAAGGCTTCAAAAAGTCTAGCAAGCACCATCATCTTCTGATAATGATCCAGCTGTGGAATCAGGGCAACACTAGTGTAGAGCTTGCTCAAGAATGGCAGTAGGCAAGTTTATGTTTATGTTTATGTATTTAACAGACGCTTTTGTCCAAAGCGACTTACAAGTGATAATCGGCATGTTGCCCTTGAGGCTAACAATAACAACAACAACTTGACATCAATCATGGAGAGGAGGGAACAAGGAGTGGACAGTAGAGAGGGGGGACGAGTGCAGGGAGGCAAGTGTGACTACATCCACGGCACAGTGAGGAGAAGACTTTTGGAGGATGGTCTGATGTCTGGAAAAGCAGCAATAAAGCCATTTTCATCAATAACAAAGCCTGGGAAAGATCAACACCCTGCAAAAGGTCCAGGAACTGGGTGAAGTAATATTCTTTGGTTAATCAGAATTTTTCTCTTAGTTTGTCAGTCCTGTGTCAAGCCAACAGTAAAGCATATGTGTGGTTGCTGCTTTTCAGCCAAGGGAATGGATTCATTCACAGTTTGGAATACAGTCATTAAATAAGAATGGTACTGAAACATCCTCCAAGAGGAACTCCTCCCAGTTATCCAAAAGTGGTTTAGTTATGATGAACAATGCCTTTTCCAACATAATAATAATAATTCCCCATGATACTGGAATGAATTTGAAGCCAACACGGAAGTGTCAAAAATTGCAGTTCCACCCTCATCCGCTGGGGGCTGGTGTCGGAAGCGATCAAATCCTCATTGACTCCCATGTTAAAAATACCATTTTCACAGCAGAAAAAAACATGTATTTACAGCCTGGTTCCAAAACATGTTTTAGGTTTAATAGACCTAGTTTACACTCATGACAACTCTGAGGGGGGTGCATTTTTTGTCACTCTTCTGTTTAAGTGTATTAAATGCCTAAAATTCTGAATAATTAATGAGCATCCGACACACGCGACCGCAGAGCTAGCTCCATGGAAAGGCCTCAGCCTGAGCCTCGGCCTCGCCTGAAAACTGTTCCGCGATTTTCAGTCCCTCAACAATCATTAGTTGTGCCGTTTGTGCATTCTTTTTGGATATTATTTGTGCAATTGTTAGACAAAATGATTTGCTGTGGTATTAATTGCACTAATAGAGCATCCAAGGAGTCTCCACTTAATTTTTTTGGTAAGTAAAATTATATTAATGTATTTTATGTCCCTGTCACTGTTGCACTGGCTGAGCTTAGATATTAACATGTACTGTATAACAATGAAATTTAAATGTAATAGGGTAAAACCCAGTGCATTTAACATAACGCTGCATTTTAGAAAATATAACATGCTGGTGGAGCTGGATTCCGACTATCGGTATGGTCAACTCCCCGCGACTCGGCGCATCTCTGAACACTGCGGCGCCTGCCTGCTGCGCGGCTGCCGGCTTATGGAGCTCTCGGGAGACCATTGTGTTCCACTCGGTTCTTCCCTCCCCGTAGCTCAGCGCATCTCTGATCGTCGCTGCGCCTGTCTGATGTGCGGGCTGCCAGCTTGTGGAGCTCTCGGATGGAAACAGATATTTTCCACCCAGTTCTCCCCAGCGGCAGCTCTGCGCATCTCTGATTGCAGCGACACTTGTCTGCTGCGCGGCTGACGGCTTGTGGAGCTCTCAGGAGACCTCTGTGTTCCACCCGGTTTTACCCAGCGGTCAGCCCGGCATATCTCTGACTCAGAAGCTCTGGTGTTGTGCACAGTTAACTCCAGTTGTAGCTAGGTTGCTACCTCTGTTAGCTTAGCTCCCACCTCCGCGTTAGCTTTGGGTTACCTTGTAGCTACATCGTTTCAGTTCGACAGGTGTTGTCATTTGATCCCAGCCTTACAGCCCCACCCTCAGCTCCACCTCTCTTCCCATTTTTGGAATTGTCTGGGCTTGACGGAACCTGTGACACAGTCAAAATGGAGGTGGTGGCCACCTCCCATTTTGGCTTAAAAACTTATTATTGGAGCCTATGGACATGAATTGTCCAGTATATATGACGAGGGGTGAAACACAGTGCCATAAGGCTAAAATCATTGCAGAAAGCATTTACATTTTGGTTCCTTGTCCTAGAAACTTCTTGGAACATAAACCCACTGAGAACAATCCTTAGGAGTTGGGTACAGAAGAAAAAAAGATACATGAATTCTTACAAACTCCACACATTTAAAAAAATTATTGAATTTCCATCATTGGAATAGAAGTTAATTGTCAACATGCTAGCATGAAAATCAGATGTAGTAGTACAAGTTAATTCATTTCAGTAACTCAGCTTAAAAGATATAGACAGACAGACTCATTATAAGATCCATGATTATGGCTTACAGATACAAAATCTCAGACAAGTAGAATATTGTGAAAAGGTTCAATATTCTAGACTCAAAGTGTCACACTCTAATCTGCCAATGAATCCAGTACTCCTGCAAAGGGTTCCTGAGTCTTTAGATGGTCTCTCAGTCTAAGGTGAATTACTGAAATAAATGGACTTATGCACATTTTCAATTTTTACCTGTAGTAGTGAAAGTAGTAGTAGTAGTAGTAGTATCCTTCAGTATACCATCTGGAAAACTGCCTAAAAATACAAATTTTTTTGAAAACCAAGATTTGTTTCATTCTCAAAACTTTTGGCAATTTAGCTTATGGAAACAAGCACTAAAATTTGCAAAGGAGAGAAAGTAGACCGATACTGAGAAGAAGACATTATTAAGCTAAGAAAATAATTAAAAACTATGGAAATGTTGTAAGAACAACTTTCATAGTGTACATGTTTATTACGATACACGTAATAGTAATATTACATTATACATGTATTGCTTGATTAAATGAAAAAAAGAATGACTTAATGAATGAAGGAACGAACAAACAAACAAACAAACAAACAAACGAATGAATGAATGAAGAGTGGGGTGCTAAAGGATACTAAAGGGTGGGGCTAGTTGATGTCAGTGTTTAACTGTTTAAAAAACTCCAAACGTTTATGAGAAACACTCAAACTTCAACTCAATAAATCAACTCAACTAATCTTCTGTTTGGGTTTATTTGGCTTTTACAAGCTATTTGTCAAGGAAGCCACTAGTGGGCACAATCTAAAAATCCAAGGTCAATTTGACTCTTCTCTAATAATATCTTGCAAGGTCGCTGATTGTCATCCCTTGACATCTAATTTTTGGAAGGATAAAGACACGGTGAGGGCCGGGCAGAAGGAGCCACACGTGAGATAATGTGGTTTGTATCGACGTGGAAACAGAAAAGACCCCCACCCACCGCAAGACTCGCCAGGAACCCTCAGTCACTCACTTGTCTTCTTTGGGTTGAGAATCAATCTCCTAATGGACATCCCATTACTTGCACTGCCAAAAGTTGTTCTCATTCTTGCTGCTTGTAATCGCAAGTACATGCCAAGTTACACCAAAAGAAAGCTAAGTAGGGACTCGATCTCAAGGGTAAGAAATATTTCCATCATTCTAATGAAATTTGGTGGCAAAAAAGTAAGTGGATGCATTAGTCCTGAAACCATATTTTATTTCTTCTGAAGAGCAATCACCCAGATGAGCTCATCCCACCTGACAACTAACTGGTCATTATGTCAGAATTCATGGACATTCCATCATTGTTTTTAAATTAATGATCCGATTCATCTCAGTTTTATTTATTTATTTATTTTTTAATCTGCTCCAATTTGAGAAAAGCACATCTGCCTGAACTCACAGTTCAGTACCCTTGCTAAAATCCCTGATGGTAGAGAATAAAAATACAGCTCACATCAAAATGAAAAGAGGGAAAAATATTTCACCAACGTTATGTCATGTGTCCATGTATACATTTCCATCATCTGAGTAATAGCCACAAGGCAGATGATTTGTTAAAAACAAGCCGTTTCATCATCCTGGCATGCCTAATAGTTTACATGTGAGCTCAGTGTATCAAAAGCACATTCTCTTTAGAGGCACTTTATACTACAAAATACCATAAATCCTCTAATATATTTAACTGCCGTGTATCATATTTTGGCCGGTGTCGGAGTCGGCGGAGGTGAATAATGGCTGGTTTTTTATTGTAGCCAGGTGGAATGTGGTAACAAGCAAGTACGGGGG